GTGGGTGTAACAGCACTGCTTCTAGCCTCAAAATATGAAGAGGTGTTCTCTCCTTATGTAGCAGACTTTGTTTACATTACTGACAATGCCTACACCAGTGATGAAGTTAGAGAAATGGAGATGATGATTCTTAAAGAGTTAAACTTTGATTTGGGACGACCTCTTCCAATTCACTTCTTAAGAAGAGCATCAAAAGCTGGGGAGGTAGGTACTTGTCCTCATTATCTAGAACTTTCCTATATGTGTAAAAGTCTGTCAGGATTGCTTCTGGCATTTTTATCATGTGATCTTACTCGCTTTTGCACACTGGATCAAGAAATATTCAGCTATGAAACTCCCCCGTGTGGAGTAACAGGACAGCATCACTGTGGCAGCCAGCAGTGGTTCACATTTAGTATTTACTGGGGCCTGCGTTCAGTCTCAGTGGCAGTAATTTTACTGCTAGAGTAAACTAAAGATACCTAGAGCAGAACCCTTGCTTTTAGAGTAATCTTTTGTCTGGTGATCAGGCTGTTCCCTAGTAAAAGAGGAGTAATGTTGCAGTTCTTCATAATTTTTGGATGCAAATATTGTGTTATTTAAGACTTAGAAGATATGCTTTCTCTTTGACCTGACCCTTTTTTCCCACCTCAGTAGTTTCACTTGAGTGAACTGCCCATACTTGAAGTGGGCTTCAGTTACCTCAACAGACCACTAGGTAATTTTTGAAGCTAGCTGCTTTAATAACGATCTCCTTAAGTCATTTTACACTTCCTCCGCCCTTCCCCCCTTAGTGTATAATAGAGGGAACACTTGTATCCCTAGTTGGGCAAAGCAGTGCCTGATACTGTGGTTTTCTACTAAAATCCCGCACTTGACTTTGTGTCTAAATTCTAAATGGCTGCTAGACTAGTCTAGTTTGGACTCTGGTCTCGATTTTGAGATGAGTGCCTGTTAAGGGTATAGTCCCTGGACCTTAATAAAGATTTTGTTGACTATTTTTTTGTCAGTTAATGAATACAATAAACAATCCTGAATTATTGTGATGAGATTAAGTGAGACTTTGTGGATTAACAAGCTCTCAATCTGATAGGCTGATGCTAAGCAACATACACTAGCAAAATACCTAATGGAACTGACACTGATAGACTACGACATGGTTCACCATCGTCCTTCAGAGATTGCAGCTGCTGCATTATGCTTGTCTCAAAAGATTCTGGGACATACCAAATGGGTAAGTATTTTAATCAAATTCATTGTTAGTAGTTTTTTCCTGCAGTTGATTGAATTGAAGCATTGAAACAACTACTTCAGAAAACTGCATTTAGGTTGGTAACAATGCTGGTGATCAAATGACAGTTGGACAGCCTGATGCATAGTTGCAGGTAGAAAAAGGAATATACCACTGAAAACTTCTATGCGAACACTCAGATATGAAAGAATTTTTCTTTTGAAAGTAGTTACAGAAGGCCATGCTGTAAATAAAGGTAGTAGATTTTCATAATCCTTGCAGTACACATAGAGTAACGAAATCATAGACCATGAATAGTGAATTGTAATTCAATTAGTGGTTACTCTTGCAAGGGTTTCTTCTTTTATCCTCTGTGCAGTGTAGAAATTTGGTTCTTGGCATTGATCTGTCCAGACTTCTACCATACACCAGAAGTTAGTCTGGATCTGTCTCCTAATCTGGCAGTACTACTACAGTTCCTAGCAATCCAGGCTAGTGCATGAAGCTTAGGGCGTTTGCTACCTGAAGTGATTGTGCCTTGAGCAGCAATCCCCATTTTGTAAATCTCAAATTTCTTACCGTTATGCTGCAGGGTACAAAACAGCAGTACTACACTGGGTATACAGAAGACAGTCTTATGATGACTATGAAACATATGGCCAAGAATGTGGTCAAAGTAAACGAGACATTAACAAAATACACTGTAAGTATAACTACTTAAGTCTTTTTTAATGTTTTGGAAATACCTTTGCTGCATATTGTGGCTCCTTAGCTAAATGTTCTGTATGTTATGTTAAAGCATAAGTTATTCTGAGACGCCTGTGAGAGGATGTTGCATTAGTACTAACTTCAAATCATTTTAGACAAACTGTACTCTTGCTACTTTGCAAGCTGGTTCAATTCTAATCTTGTTTGTTTTGCTTGGTTTCCAAGTAGTCAGGGTAATTTACCCAAAACTATCTGCCTGAATATAAATGCTATACATGTAAATCTTTTGTAACACTGTTCCTCTACCTCTGCAGGCCATAAAGAACAAGTATGCAAGTAGCAAACTACTGACGATCAGCACAATCCCTCAACTGAGCGGCAAGATAATCAAGGACCTGGCTTTGTCACTCTTATGATAACCCTAGGCAGCCAGTCCTGATGGTATACGCACTTTGTCCTTATTTGCCTATTGAGGCAAAACTACTGTTCTTTGTACATAGCGTTCCAGCCTTTCCATGGACATTTAAGAGTCACTCAGAAGGTGAAATTTTAAACTTGCTTTGTAATACAACACTCTACCTAGAAATAAAGTTCCTCTTTTTCTTTTAAAAAAAAAAAAAATTGTGACTGTGAATCTTTAAGGCACTGCCTAGGCATGTCTGTAATTTCATGTCCAAGCAGGACATTTGACTAAATAGGTAATTGATAAAACTTACAGTTAGATGTGGATGATTATTCTCAGTGGTTGTTTCTAATGAGAATCTCCAGGCTTTATAGTGGGTTATATTTAGTAACTTGTTCCTTTCACTCTTAAGGTAAGAAAGAAGAGGCAGACAGTTCATCTTTTCTTGGTGTACCTTAAAGGATACTAAATAGATACTTTATTTCAGTGCCTTGTCCCAGATAAGTATACAGGAATTTCTTTTTTCATAGTTTGTTGCCTTCAAGTTCAAGTATGCTGGCTCTAACAGATACTACTAACTAGCCTTGTAAATCTTTGTGCTTAGGTGAACATAAGACAATGTGTTCTCTGTCTTTCTGTACCTAAACAAAGGGAGCTAATGGCAGGAATGTGATGCTAACCGCTGTAGGTGTGGAACTAAAGGGATGAGACCTTTTGAACTAGCTCTTAAAACCTGTTCCGCTTTTGGACAAAGAAAGCCCTAGTTTTTAATTGCTTGTTCATTTACCCACCCTCCATCCCCCCCCCCCCCAATGAACTTCTATGCGTGGGAGAATACAGTCAAACCCACCATAAGTAGATTCTTCCTTATTACTTAACAATTTGCCCCTTCTGTTTCTAATAAACATCGCTATCTGTATGCTAAAGGAATACAAGTATGTAAGTAATGTAACTTTTCTGCCTTGATAGCTCATTTAAGCCTATATGTTAACTTAGTCCTATATAAGTAATGTTAAGTTACAGACCCTTAGGTTATTCTCTAAGTTATACTGAACTCATTACCTCCCTTCTCCCAGTGTCTCCTCTTCATAAGTGTGCTGGCTCTGATGTAGAAGGCAAGAACCCAATACTACAAAATAGGCCTAGACCTCAATGCTCCCCTGTGGGAAGGATGTTGAAGCTACTGAGTTTTATCTTCTCAAGCAGGAGACTTCTCTCTCCCATAGGATAAGTAAGCCCAGCACTTAATGCAAATATCTTTTGATCCTTTGTATGTATATGATCCCCCCCCTGCACTGAGGCCCCAGTTTCTAGCTTCCAGAAACAGCTTCTACAGTCAGTCATCTCTTAATGGAGATGCAGTTTTAAGTGTGCCTGAATTAGGCTTCAGTTACAGTTGGGGGGGGAATTCAAGTCTTAGCTGTATCTTAAAGCTTATGCAATTTCTTAACATCAACATACACAGGGGTTTTTTTTTAACTGCTTTTAACAAGAAAAAATGTAATGCACAGCACTTCAGCTGGGCATAGTGAAAATGGTTCAGAGCAAAGGAAGGGTGGGGGTTTTTTTCTTTAGAAATCAGTGCAGTAAAATCCATCGTTGTTGTGAAGGGATCTATCTGTATATATAACAAACTGTACAGAGAACAGATCTGTTCAACTAATTGCTTCTTGTGTTTTATTTTATGGAGGTTCAGAAGGCAAAGCATGAATGCTGATAACTGTATGGCAAGCAACAACCACTCTGGTGTGGGAGGCAATCAGATTTAAGCATTAACACTTTTGCTTTTGCCATTTAAAAGGAGTAGTGCATATCTGTAAGTACCTGGCATAAAAATTCTAGTAGAACTACTTCATGAATAAGAACAGTGGAATACTACATTATACATTCATACATATTTCTATCATACTCAGTTTTTATATACAGTATATGATCTGTTTCTATAAATGTACAGCTCTGCATAAAGACACTTCTTATAACAGGTAGAGCATTAAACATAAATCTAACATGGGCCAGCCATATTATAATATAAATCTTGAAGAAGGCAACATTGTTTAGCATACAGTACTACTTGGTTTTCTGTTTTAACTTCTTATAGTGTCTGTTGGAATCCCAAAACACATCAGCAAACACAAACCAGTTCCATTACAACTCTGTACAGAATTACTTAAGTATACCATCACAGTAGGTTTTTAGATGGTAATATCCCGAATGAGCCTAAATCTTTTTGATATGTAGCAGCATACTTAACATGTTTCCCAGAATGATCTGCATTAGAGGAAACGTGCATTTAACATTATCTTCAGTAGATAATTAAAATGGTTACTGATACTCAGCTGAAGGCACTTATTAAATACATGCCTTTCAAAGTCCCTGGTCCTAGACTGTAAAGCACCTTTCTGTTTCAGGAAGATGGGCGATTTGAGCATTCTTCACTTACTAGGTGTTAAAACCAGGTTTTAAATATAATAAATAATTGGTAAGTATGTCCATTGCTGTATGCTTCAGAGACAAAAGATCAAAGTCTGTGCTGTGGGTAATTTTCTTCCTGCTCATGTACAACTTTACTGGTGAAAATACTGCTGAGAGCAGCAGATCTCAGAAGAACAGTGTCCTGAAGGCAAGGGAAAACATAGTCAATCACTGGTAGCATCATGCCAATTTTTGTCCGACAGTCTTTTATATCTTGGTGACATAATTGTTGGGAAACAGACCTTGTTTCCCTCGTAGTCTTCCTGTCCACCAGCCAGAAGGATCTATAATAAAGCAAAGTAAGTAGTGAGGTTCTGTGAACCTTTTTGTATACTTTGAGGTAGCCTTGCAAAGCTATTCCACTAAAGGACTGAGAAAAAATGATCTGGAGAACCTGAGCTTGCTAATTTTTTGGCCATATCACTGTGCCTTAAGAGGTTGCTTTGGAGACCCAAAGAGTTGAAACTGCTTTATTACTTTTTGGTGGTTCTGCTATAGCTGTGGTTTAGGCTAACTTTTAGCCAGAGCCTGTGATAGAATTACTCTCTAAACTTCCAGATCTGCAGTACCAAGTAACACATACATCATTGATCTTTCTCTTGAGTGGTTTTAAGTGAGCAGATGTGATTGGTGAGGATACTTTGCTCCCTGAGCTATTGTAGAAATTTGCATGCCTTATGAGGGAAGATAACTGGAGTGGCTCAAAAAGTCATGTTGTAACTACTTCTGACAGTGTACCTTCAGGGTTAGTACTTAAGTAACAAAACCTTTGATCTCTACGTACCTTCTTTAATTATATCAATCACATCGTTGGCATTAAAGCTAAGTTCATCTGTGTCCTGAGCGTCATATGCATACAGTGCCCTGCACTGCGGTACCTGAGGCTTAGGTTTTGGCTGTGGTTTAGGCCTTCCTCCAGCTGGTGGGGGTCGGTTTGTTGTCTGCCTGCGAACACTAATGGGAGAAAAAATGTTAATATGCTTCAAAGCTTAGGACTTAAACCTAAGCTTTATCAACTCCTCTGTCCTAATGAATTTATTCTAAAGAATATCACAGAACAATGGAAAAAAGATTCTCTTAAATGTCACAACAATTAAAACCAGCAATGTAAGACTTCCCTGTGAAAGGGACAGAGTTGCCATATCTTTTCTACTGAAATGGATGAATAGGTACTTCCAAACAGCAGTTCAAATGCATAGAAGATATTTTAGTGCTCAGGCTGGAATGTAAACAAATGTGCACATGCAGTTCATGCATATCTTGGCATCTACACAGCTTAGTCTGTCTCTCCCAGTGCCCCAACTTCACTAGGGATTTAGTTTCCGGTATTGAAAACAAAGTTCTAGCTCACAGGCTTGCTACTTTACCATTCTTGTGACTAAGCTGTAAGAGAGACTGCATCTCTTTTAAGTTGCCTCAGATTCCAGGGCCGTCTATGGGCTTGTTCTGTTATAGTCAGCTCTGAAGCAGCAGGGGAGATGCTGCACAAACTCTTTGTCACAGCTGTGACTGCTCCAGAGATTAGGAAGGGCAAAGAGGGAAGAAATGCATTTTGCCAGCTCATCAGCTAATAAAGGCTGGAAGAGAGAACAGGTATTAGATGCAACATGTCAGTTTAAAATCATAAATAAATATGCTAATTGACTAAAAATGTTGCAGTGATGTGGAGGGGACTGAACTGCGATTGTGTTGTGTAATGCTATTACAACTTTACACAGCTCTTGCAGAAAAGGTTTATAGTTACTTATGTGAAGTCCTAGACTTAATTTCTGTCAATATGTCTCTGTCTAGTTCTACGTTTGTGTAGAGAACTGCACCAGAAAATGAGCTTTGAAGTATGGGTTAACAGCATTTCAGTTCTAAATTTAGCTACTGGGAGAGAGGATTTTCTCCTGTTGTTCAGCAAGTAGTGACTTTGCTTGGGATAGGATACATTGTGAAACCTAGACCTAAGTATGGAAATAAAAGTCTTAGAAAAGTAGCTCAGCTTTTCTGCAACCACAGTAGAACAAGAACATCTTAAAAGAGATGTTTTGATGGTGACAGCATGGTGTTTTTTTTAAACTAAGGTTTATAGTGGATTGTTAGTGATAGCTAGAAATTAAAGGTGTAACAGTACCAGTGTATCCTTCTCAGCAGCTTTGCTAAAAATAAACTTAATTCTAACCCTTTAAAAAAAAAAAGTATAGCTATAATGGCTGTGGTTTTGAAACACTAAATTCACGACTTGTCTAGCTCGCTCCTTGAGTACAGACAACACTACAGCTTTCCCTTTTGAAAAAGAACAGTCCTAGAGAAATATTTACCTGATACCCACTGCTGAATATAGTAATATTGTTTCTTTTTAGTATATTAATGAAGGCTCTCATAATGCTCAGGAATATAGCCTTGCAAATGTCACTTTTGTGTGAGTACTCCCTTTGGTCTGTTACTGCTGTAAAACTCCTCTAGGATGTTTGGTTTTCATAGTGGTGAATGTACTGGAGCAAGTTGAGGGTAATAATGCTGGGAATGGGACTGAAAAGGAAGAACTGGAAGGAAGAACAGGCAGAAACCCTCAGGTATTCTGAACTCCTCCAATTCTTTGTGAGCCTGACCCTCTGCTCTGGACTGGCTTTGGGAATTGTCTATTTGAAAAATGAGCTGCAACTTGGCTAGATTAGCATTTGGTCCAGTTGAGTCCCTAATACTCGTGCTGGCCAAGGGCAACAACAGTTTGTAAGCAGTGAGAACTAAAGTGCTGAAAAGGAGCACAACTTGTTTTGGTGGCAGTACTGGATGGTGAGGTATTAGTACCAAGCAAATTAATGCCTGACCTGTGGTGGTGCCTTGTAATGCTTAGCTGACTCGCCTGTGTGCAGGTCTCCATGCAGAAACCATGCGCACAAATCTCTGTAGTTCCCATGCAATGGCATGGATTTGAAGTCACATCCAGTCCCCATGAATAAGATTAGGAAAATGAGTGACGAAGGGAACTGCCAGGTAAATTCTTTTAAGTACCTCTTTACGGGTCTTCTGTTGGAGGGAAGAGCTGCACCTGACAGGGCCTTGGCCCTTCTGCCTGACTGCTGCCGCACGCAGGTTGCCCGGGCCGTGCCGAGCTGGCCCAGCTGGAGCCCAGCGGGACTGCTCTCGCCAGGGGCTGCCAGCAGAGGGCGCGCGCCTCACGCATATGCGCGGTCCCTGGCAGGGCTGCTGCAGGGCCGACAGAGCCCCGCTTCCAGAACGGGAATGGGGCCCTCAGCCTGGAGCTCCAGCAGCATTTTCAGAACCGCAGCGGTTGGTTCGTGTGCTGGTTGGTTGGGTTCCCCCCATCCCCCCACTGTTTACCCCGAGGAAATTGTCCTCGAAGTTTCTGCTTACAAAGTGATACTGCTGATAGTGTTGCAATACTCTCTTCTGCTTGGAAGAGATCATAAAGATTATAAAATGGCCCTGGAAATACACTGAAATATGCCTCAGTAATGGTTAGTACTGATAGGGACAATAACTGGGTTGTATTAATATTATGGAGATTAAAAATTGGTCTTTTGACTATGTGCTCAGAATATGGCATTATTAGCATTAACAAAGCATTAACCACTGTCAAAATACTCCAATTCCTAGACTATTCAAAACGACTTTCTGAAGTCATACAGATGTAAAATCAAATTATTACCTACTTGTTTCAATGCCCACCTGAAATTATCCTCACTGGGCTGCACTCTACTCCTCTCAGAGTGAGTGCTTGCTTTAAGAAATGCAATTCAAAGAACTTGTGGGGTGTACTAGACAGGCAGCACCTCAGATACTGGAATATTAAGATCTAAGAAATTACTTTGGTAGACTCTTTTTAGATGTTTCCTTACCTTACACAGTAGTGTCCATATTGCTACTGCATGTTGCCTACAGCTGTAGCTTGCTTTGAAAGAAAAAAAAAAAACCCAACCAAAAAACAAAGGAACAAACCAAAACAAACAACCTTCACTCCCCAACAACCTCTTCCCTCCCTACCTCTTTCCTCAGAATCATAAGCTATGTTACTAGTGCTCTTTTGTCTTGTGGCTTCCTATAGAGAAGCTTCACTTCCACAAAAATCCATCCAGGAGGGAGCAATGGATGCCTGCTCCCTACTTGTTCTGGTTGCAATTACTGCTGTGACTGTTGGTGGGTTGTTTGTTTTTGTTTCTTTCCTACCACTCTGGAGCATGCAGAGTTATCAGTGAATACTAGGGCAGGCAGTGAAGATGTCATTCTAATATAGTGTGTTTTGTTGTTGGGTTGGTTTTTTGGTTTGGTTTTGGTTTTTTCTTCCTTTGGGCTACATCAATCATAATTGTGATTTAAAATGGTAATTATAAATAATAGAAGCTTTAATATGTGCTAATCATCTTTGTAAACTCGCAACACTGAAACAGATGGTGTGTACCCATAGGATTAGGAACTGAGTATGATGCAACTGATCTTTTTAATCCAATGTGATAGTTCTTATCGCATTATGTACTTGGTAGCTGCTACATTTTACAGTAATGCAGGCATCAGTCAGTTGTCTCACAGAAATCACAACAGCTTTATCCTATGGCTTATGGGTTTTTTTGCTGCTACGTGAACTGTAGTCTCAAGACACAGTATAAGTCTAGTATTAGCAAAATAGCTTCAACAGAATACGTTGACATGCGAGAAGAAAATTTCACCACTTAAAGGCATGGAAGTTACTAGTTTACAAAGATGGAAATATGTCTAAAAGTGTTAGCATATGCTGACAGTTCTGAAATTGTTAAAGTAGTAGCTACTTGCTTCTGATTTCTGTTTTATTTGAAAAACCAATCTTAAACAGGAAAAAGCTATATATATGCTTACAATATCTTATGGCTAACACTTGGTGCACAGTGGGGAAAAATGACTGCCATTAGTACAACTGAAAAAAGTCTCCATATGTGCCTAATTTTGCTGGAGGACTGACCTCTTTGTGGTTAGGAACTGGAAAGCCCCTACTTAGGAACCCTGTGCACTTTTTTTGATACTAAAAAAAACCCCCTATCAATCCTATGTATGCTTATGTATTATTTGTTTTCTATCAGGTGTCTAATGCTCACTAGAAGCAACATTGTAAGTAATATGCTAAATAAGTACTGTAGCCAGTTGGCTCACACACAAAGAAGAATGCCTAGGCCAGCAGGAGAATTTAGCACAGAACATCTGGTTAAGGAGCTTCTCTACTGACTGACAGTTCAGAAGGGTCTATTGATATGAAAAGTTGCTCTTGATATAGTTAAAAATAACTAATTTTTTTGCTGCCTCTAAGAACCCCCATTCATGTGGATCACTAGAGAAGGGGGGCTGACCTCTTCCATCTAATGCCTCAGAATATTCTAGCCTGAAGGCAAATACGATCAGGGGCTGCAGAAGGTCAGGTGGAAACTTAGTGAAAGTTTGACTTAATCTTGATTTCTCCCAGACTATCCCAAGTGCAAGCTGTTCCATATTTGGCAAAATGATTTGCTGTCAGGCCTGGGAGTGTGGGTCACAACTGACAGCTCAGAGTAAAAATACCGTGAGTGCTTAATTGTTAGTGAGCAACAACAAAAATCCTTGAATGTTGCATGTTACTACAGTAGACAATGTATGGTAAGGGTGAAGGAATACAATTATTAGAATGGGATCATGGGAGACTTTGAAATACTTGGGTACTTTTTTAGGCAAAATTCTTACTACAACTGTCTCTGGTTTTACTTCATGCTTTTACATCACCTTCAGGGGATATGTGGTGCTCTAGCTGTTGTGGTAAGCCAAGGCTCAGATTCTGCAATGAGTCAGGGCACTCATGCAACATAAATAAAACTAACTACTGTCAGCCAGCTGTCTGTTGGAGGCTGGGCTAGAGAGGCTGCCTCATTACAGAGGGAGGTAACAATCTGTTGGAA